ATTTTAACAGTAGTACTAATAACTAGTTAACTTGTAAAGGATTTTACTATAGCTGGGTATCAAATTAATAGCGAAATTAATATTTAGATAATGCCTAATACTGCTAAGAAGAGGTCCGAGCACTGAGTACGTTCGATCTTTCTTAAAATATCTACAGACTCTACTACTCGAGTACTCCATACAAATCTATAATGGCGTGACTATGTGCAGAAGTCATAGAGATTCATTCCCAATGTGGGATGGACAAGACATCTGAATTTGCCTTCTTGAGAAGTAATCTGGAAGCTGTCCAACGCCGTGCGGATAAGCTTGGCTCCGGCATGATCTACTTTATCGAGGGAGTTCAGGTGGTGAGAAGTCTCTGTCTTTCTTTAGCCTTCTGTCAAGTTGGGCTTGAAGACCTTTACTGTGACATTTTCATGCTGTCTAGAAAAAGTGAGACTTTTTTGAGAAATGCGACCTAAAGGCTGCTGTTGCATGAGAGTCCAATATCTCAGAGTCTGTTAGTATCAAGGATCAAGGAAAAATGCTAGACACGGAACCAATACTGGGAATATGAGCCTGCCACAGTGAAACAGACAAGCAAAATTAGACGCTGAATCTTTGGTCGGAGGGGCATTGGTGAACCAGAACTTATTTGCTGCCCTGCTACTCAAAAAGACATGATCCTGTCGTCTACTGGCTTTATCGCACCGTGAAGCTAGGTGAAGTCGAGAACAGCCATACCCCTTAAGGTCGATTACGCTGCGATCTGGCTCTTGAACGCAACATGGACCAGCCAGGATCGCAATAGCAAACAGCAGGATCTCTAAAATAAATCTCCTGGCTGCGAATCTCGAATCATGAGAGATAGCATTACATCTACATACCTCAAAAACGCTGCATAGTAACTTGATAGACTAGTAGTATGTAATAACCATGCTTCGCTCAGTGTCAATTACAGGCAATATCCCATCTCTAGATATAATCCAGCATTATAGCATCTAACAACCAACATCCATCCACCCACCCATTAGCAACACCCCAGCCCCCTTCCAACCACCCCCAGAACACACAAAAGAGAATCAAGAAGAAAAGTAAATCAATCAATCACACGCTTCTCCCTTTGCGACAGCCCTCCACCCCTCCATCCCTCATATTTAACACAAACCCCCCAACCATCGCGAATCTCCCCAACCAACTCCCCAGAGTCACAACTTCCACTGCCATACATGCAGAGATCGAACTGCGGCTCGGACGGACTCTTCCACGAGACCGTGTCCACAATACTCAGATTCAGGCCCCGAACAGCGGTCAAATCCACACACGATCGCTCGGATACGCCCTGCGCATGGTACACGCTGACGGCGAAGTTGGAGCCGCTGGGTTCGCAGCCTGGTTTGAGGAGGCGAAGGTCCCACTTTTTTTTAGGTTGGGGTTTTATGTTAGTTTCAGAAACGAAATTTAGAAGATTTGAATTAGGATTAGAATGGGGGAGTTACGTTTCTGGGTCTCAGGATGTCGGCGGTGGTTGCTGTTCCTAGGGTTGCTAGGGCTGTGAGGAGGGTGAGGGTTGGGAGCTGCATTTTTGGTGGTGTTGGTGGGAGGTGGTGAGGGGGAGTGGAGGGAGGACGATCTAGAACGAGGTGGCTAGGGGTTGGAACTTATTTATAGGGGAAAACGACCAGGTCCCTTTTTTGTTTCTTTTTTTGATCCACCTGACTCGAAGTTTTTACTCATTGAGTTTGTAAATTGCCAGGAACCCGAAGTCACTAATGCGGCCACCCGAAACACGGCAAATGACAAAACTCCGGGGCACTTCCACCGGCCCGGCCATTGGCTCGCCGATGTGATGAACTACGAGAGGAGCAGGAGTAGTCGACGACTGAGCATACAGCGATGCAACCCTCATTTCTTAGCATGCAGGGATCTTGGCCCACAGTTCTATTAATACATCGACCGTGCAGGAATGTTGCAAACAATACCACCCGTGGCCATCTATAGTAAACCCGTTTATCGCTTTTCTCTATTTTGGCAGTTTACTGCCTGCCGTTCGGGGATAACCGCCACGCCCGCAGGGGAAGTCCCTGCAGCTTCAGCACGGCCGGTCGGATAAACATGAAAAAGGTGACAGTGCCAATCAACACGCAGATAATGTTCGTCGTGTAATATCCATCCCGGAGGGTGTGACAGGAACCGCCGCCATTTGTGCAACGGTTCTTGTCGGGTTCCAGAGCACAAGAGAAAGGCGCTGTAACCAGTTCACCCTTCAACTGGTCCGCCGCAGGAGGAACACTGGGAGGGGTACATGTCGCTTCAGTGAACATGTCCACAAGCTTCAGGATGAAGTAGCGGGGGAATGTGCCGCCCAGGTTGGAGACACTGCGCGAGTCAGTCTACAGTTACACCAATTTCATATCATGCAAAGGGGCAAGGGAAGGAGAGGGTGGAAAACTCACGTAGCCAGTAGCGTCATGTACGTCCCTCCAATCGCGGGATCGGAGATGCGTGCATGGAACGCGGATACAGCCACAAACATGACCGTGTTCATAAAAGTGGACAACACATGCTCCCCAATCACCGTCAGCATATACCAAAACGGCACTTCCGATCCCGACGGATAAATCATAACGGTGAACTGCGCCAGAACCGCCGCCGCCAGTCGTCCGATGAACGCCCAGCACCATAGACGCATGGGAGTATACTCGGTCGACCATTTGCCAGCGTAGTAGCCCAGGCCAATCTCGAACGGGAAGTCAATCAGCACGACCAAGGCCATGTTGTCTTGTCCAAAGCCCTTGTCCAACAACTTCAAACTGGTTACGCCGTCGTTGGCCTGGAATCCGATCTTGGCAATCAGGTGCACCAGAATGATGGTCTGAACGTTCTTGAGTTTGAGCACGCTCCACATGCTCTTATACACATCCGAGATACTGTCCCGCTCATGGGTTTTGTCTTCCTTCTTCATGACCGCCAGACAAGTCGTCACTACCAGGTACGCCCAGCCCCAGAACGTCAGGTACGTCCCCAAGGAAAGTAGCCCCCCGTCTCCGGGGGTGGCCCGGAACCAGCGATTGGCGAAATCCTGCGAGTTGAATGCCAGGAACACCGTGTACGACAAGAAATGGCCCGCTGTCAAGCCGACCGTCTGGGCGGTCGAGGCATAGGAGATGTTTGGTGGGGACATGAGCGTAATGGCCCATCCGTCCACCGCAATGTCCTGCGTGGCGCAGAAAAACACCAGCAAGAACCACCAGTATGTAAAGTTCCAGACCCCAGCGCCCCCGTTAGCGCCCGCCTGCACCATCATATCACCAATTTTCCCGCCCATATAGATCATGGCCAATCCGGCAATCACCTGGACCGGAGTGATCCAGCTCTTGCGGCGACCAAACCTCCGACTCCAGACCGCATCCACAATGGGGCTCCATAGAAGTTTGAGCGAGTAAGGGTACGAAGCGAGGGAAAAGACACCGATCTGGCCATAGGACAGGTAGGGTTTGAGGAGGAATGGGACCGATCCTGTGGCTAATCCCATGGGCACTCCCTGAAGGAAATATAAGACGCATAATAGCAAGAAGTTTCTCTTATCGCTTGGTGGGAGGTTCGAGAAACTCGTCGTGGTTAGTCCCGGTGTTTGCGGGGTGACCGGGGGGTCGTGGTCTAAGGAGAAGCTGGGGCGGGACATAATACGGGAGGCTCGTGCGGACGACGTCGATTCAATAGAGGTCTCCCTCTTGCGCATTTCAATATTGGAATTCATCCCGTCTCTCACATAGCCGTTCTGGCCGGTCGCAACTCTCAGGGTCGGCTTGGAGCGACGTTTGGACACTGTGCGGTCCTTGCGCTTCATCGGTAGTTCCGTTTGTAACGGGACAGCTCGGAGTCGCGTCGCGCGTTGTTTGTTGGGATTCAAGAAGGGCTCAAAAGGAAGTCTCGATGATTGTTGGCGCGTCAGACACGGTTCGTGGGTGGTCCCTGGTCAGTTCTGCATACTAGTCCGTCGATCGCTTAGCTTAAACTCTTCGGGGTGGTCGGCCCAGGATGACGTGAGAGGTGACGGAAAAGACAGAATTGAAGAAGAAGAGTGGCAATATAGGGCCAAACGAGAGTATAGAGTGAACTTGGAACTGGAAAGAATTGCAGGGATAGGAGTTTTCGACCGGCGTAGTTCCTCCGATATCCGTGGAGGCGAAGCAAGTCCAGGAAAGTCAAAGGTGTCCTTAACGATCAACTCGTTTTCAGGGTCACTTACTAACTCATTAACCCAAAGGGGAAACTCTGGTTTCCCCAGGTGACCCACTCGATCTGCAGGCTCCCATTGGCCCGAGCTTCTCTGCAGAAGAATGGCACTGACACCTCAGTCACCCAACGATCTACTCCGTCCTCGCTACACTTAGGTTCTACATTCTACGTTCTACATTCGATAGACAGCATGCCCTTGTCTTCATAATTCTTGATTTTCTCGGTCAAAGTGCTATCTTCGACTCGTCATCCTCTCTGCTAGCTCTCAACAAAAGATTCGTCACCGTCTCATGCCCGTTCACCACAGCCTGAAACAATGGTGTGCGGCCCAGGAAGTCCTTAGAGTCTATATCCACTTGTCCACTGTCAAGCAGCAGCTTCACAACTGTAGCGTGACCATTCTGTGAGGCCCAAGCGAGTGGCGATGCGCCTTCATGATCTCTCGAGTCCGTATCAACCTTTCTGGTTTCTAGCAATAAACGTACCACTGTCTCGTGTCCATTTTCTGCAGCCCGGGACAGTGGTGTTCGGCTAAAATTGTCTTTAGTATCCGCATCAACTACTCCAGTGTCGATCAGCAGTTTGACTAAGAAGTCATGTCCGTTTTCTGCGGCTCGCGATAGCGGTGTTCGACCGCCCTCGGAGTCTTTTGAGTTCACTTCGGCTTCTCCAGTTCCAAGGAGCAGCCTGACCACCGTATCATGTCCAAACTCCGCAGCCCACCCGAGTGCTGTCGACCCAGTGACATCTTTTGAGTTTACATCGGCTTTGCCGGTGTCGAGAAGGATCCTCACTACCGCCTCATACCCTGATTGTGCGGCCAATGTTAGTGGGGTTAGAAGCAGATGATCTCTTGAATTCACATCAACTAGCCCGGTGTCAAATAGCAGTTTTACCACAGCGGCATGTCCATATTGTGAAGCCCAGCCTAGCGGAGCCCGACCTAGCTCAAAATCCATGGCGTTCAGATCAACCTGTCCGGTTTCAAGTAGAAGCTGGACCACCTGCTCGTGCCCGTTCATCGCGGCGATGGACAATGCAGTGAAGCCTGTTTCATCGCCCGCATCCAGGTGAGCGCCCGCCTGGATGCTGATTTGTGCAGTATCTTTTGCTCCGTACGCTGCAGCCCATACTAGCGCCGAGCTTTCTGAGTTCCATGCATTGAATCGATACAAGTATGGGTTGATGACAGCATGAAGCAGGCGGTTGACTTGAGATAGAGCATTTATATCCTCCTCCGTCTCAAGAAACTCAGCGACGCACAATAAAAGCTCACAGGGCAAGCGCAGCAACGACATTGTTGTTTGTTGTGGAAACACAAGGACGGGAAGCGGGAGCGGGACCGATAGCGGTGATGTTCTCGCACACGCGCTGGGCGGCATAAGACTTGACACCAGCTTCAAGCGGGGCACGGATGATCAAGAAATAACAAGGTTTCTCGGTCTCGATATGACCGGCCTTAACGCTGTCTCAAAGTGGACAAACTGTTGAAGCAACCTACCATGACCTCGCGCCCAACGCCCTGCCTCTTATACCCCTCGTCTACCATCCGTTGTTTCTAACTGCTACCTCGCGGATTCACTGAGACACGGACTAATGAATTAACTAATTTACTGGCTAGCGTACCGTGACCTCGACGAGGAGATGGTCGAATCCAACATCACCGCTTCCAACGGGCCAGAACCTGCTCTGATTGGTCAAAGGGGGTTGTAAAGTCGGTATGCCATCGTTGGTTCCTCGTCTTGAGACACGCAGGCTAAAAGCGGAGACTGGCACGCCGTCGATCCTTCTTTGTACTAGACCCATGGGTCCGGTTGGGTCCCGAGCAATGAGGAAGTGCCCTTCTCTACTACGGTGACTTTAGCCATTTCTAGCATTTACCGGCTTTCCCACGGTCATAGCAAGGAAGTCCAGAGTATCGAGTACTCCTCGATACCCCTATACAGTTCCTAATATCTCCGTTAGCTGTCTAGCCTCCCGCTATAGCATTGTAGACTCACTACGCCGATACTTCCTTCCCCAATATACGGAAAACTCAATCCCCATGATTCTAATTCTTCATCATATAACTTCATATAACTTCATATAACTTCATATAACTTCATATCCCATTCCCTTCAAGACTTTCATACATACTATCCGGAAATGAAGCAAGGAATAAGGGCTTGATTGCTTACTCAAAGGCCTGGGGAACTAGTAGGCGCCCATAAAAAGATCACATGATTATCTCCATTTCAAACGAATAGGTTACATTATCGTCCACAATTCTTCCGTACACTCGTTACTGCCAACCAGACAACGCATAAGAATGACGTTTGGAGATGTTGATATTGGAAGTGGTCTCGGAGAATGCTTTTCTTTTCCTAGTATTCATCTTCTTCTTGCTGTCCGTTGCCAGACGTATATTATGAAGTTGATAAGTTAAATAGTTATACTCAACATCTTACAGGCCACTTACTCTACACCATCATGGACAAGTATTGCAAGCTAAAGAATCGTGAGTTGTATATTCACATCCCTGAGACTTTGATGGCAAGGAAACATACAACAAATAATAATTCACAAACAGACAAAGACATCTTACGGAGAGGGAAGAGGCAATCGTAACCCAATTCAGGGATTATCTTGTAAGTGTGTGCTTGGTTTAACCATTTCTCAGATATTGATTGTTTACTGTAGCAAGCTGATTCCCCGAATACTGCTTTGGCTCTACATGGCTGGCTTCTTAGCTCAGTGACTACAATCACAACTCTTGGCCATGGTGTGCATGGGTTGAGTCTTGTCTAAAGCCTGTCTACATTCGACATCTACTAAGCTGTTTTCTGGCATGTAGGGCGTGTGTGGTTGCATCTTCCATGTTGACATCCACATGCGTAACGTTACGTCCCCCGGGTTTATAGAATCAACGTGGCTGAGAGCCCAGGTCCCCAACTTTCCTGAATTCACCTGAATAGTCATATTGAGACAATAGAGTCCGAACGGTAATATGTCAAGTCTAGGAGTGAGGTATCTAGGCTTTTTATTCGTCTAGACGTGTCTGCCTCGACACGGTCAAGTGGGAATATCCATTTTATATTTATTTTGCAACCCAAAATCAAGTTTACACAACTCTCAAAATGGTATACTTTTGCAAATACCATACATTTTGCTTTCTTTTTTTCATTTTCAAGTCCAATAAGCATGTTTATTCGCCCCCAAAATATACCCCGTTCATCGAAAACGTCCGGCGGTCCACGGAAGCCCGTACTCCACGCCAGCCAAGACGCAAAGAAGGGTCTAAGGTCACTCTAGAAGTGTCAAGCACATTAGAGCGTCTTGGCGCAAGGAACCGCCCTTTAGCGGCTTGTCCAGGCAACCCCATAAAGTGGCACTGCCCACTTCCCCGACTCCCTCAATTTACAACCTAATTACAACCCTAAGTATATGCTAATCGACATGCCACCCACATTGCCAGAGAAAACCGATTACACACGATGGCGACTATTAAACGAAGACGGCCGACACACATGGCACTACCTGGAAGACGACGAGTCCGCGCGAAAATGGCCCCAGACGTTAGCCGATAAATACTATCTCGGTTTACCACTGGTATGCAGTTATCTAGTACTCATATGCCGAGTAGCATTCACCTAACGCAACATAGGACCTTCCCAATCTTCCACCCTCAACATCCCCCTTGGAGACAGTCCACAATGGTCTGAAATTCTTCTCTAACCTGCAACTCTCCGCTGGGAACTGGGGATGTGAGTACGGCGGTCCCATGTTCCTACTACCCTGCGTCGTCTTCGCGTGGACCGCAACCGCAACCCCGATCCCCTGGTCTTACGCAACGGAGATCAAAATTATCTCTTTGCGCGAGCTGACCCAGTCGACGGAGGCTGGGGTCTGCACACCGAAGGCGAAAGCACCGTGTTCGGCACGAGCCTCAACTACACCATCCTCCGCCTGCTCGGCGTCCCTGCCGACCACGAGGTGATGATTAAAGCCCGCACCCTGCTGCACAAGCACGGCGGCGCCGTGTACGCGCCCCACTGGGCCAAGTTCTGGTTGGCGCTACTCGGCATCGCGGACTGGGACATTGTGAACCCCATCCCGCCTGAAACGTGGCTCTTGCCGGACTGGGTTCCTGTCGCACCGTGGCGGTGGTGGATACACATGCGGCAAGTGTTCCTGCCGATGTCGTTTATTTGGTCGAGACGGTGGACGATGCCTGAGACGGAGGTGATTCGGTCGTTGCGGAACGAGTTGTTTACTCAGGATTGGGAGAGCATCGACTGGAGAGGGAATCGAAACTCCATTGCCGAGATTGACAACCATCATCCGAAGACATGGGTGCTCGGCTCTGTGAACTGGTGGCTGAGCGAGGTGTGGATGCCGTTCTTGAGGCCGCGGTTCGTGGCTACCTGGGCTGAGGACTGGGTGAGCAAGCTGGTGGATATGGAGGATGAGAACTCCGACTATGCTGATTTGGCATCTGTGAACGGGCCATTGAATATGGTGGTTTGTTTCATCAGGGATGGAGGTGATGCATATTCCGTCAGAAGACACCGGGAGCGGCTGGAGGATTTTCTATGGGTTAATAAGGAGGGCATGCTAGTGAATGGGACGAATGGGGTGCAGTGCTGGGATACGGCATTTCTGGTGCAAGCAGTTCATGCCGCTGGTTTGGCGGAGAGTGAGGAGTGGAGGCCTATGTTGGTGCGGGCGTTGGAGTTCCTAGATCACCAGCAGATCAGGGAGAATTGTAAGGATCAGGAGGTGTGTTATCGTCATCCGCGGAAGGGGGCTTGGGGGTTCAGTAATAAGGACCAAGGGTATGCTGTGTGCGATTGTATCTCGGAGGCCCTGAAGTCCGTGATTCTGCTCCAGAAGACCCCGGGATACCCGCAGCTGCTTGATGATCGGAGGATATTTGATGCCGTTGACACATTGCTCACTTATCAGAATCCCTCTGGCGGATGCTCATCTTATGAACAAACTAGAGGTGGGGAGTATATGGAGATGTTCAATGCTGCGGAGGTGTTTGGACGGATCATGGTTGAATATGATTACCCTGAGTGTACGACTGCCGTGGTCACAGCATTGACATTGTTTAAGAAACACTGGCCAGAGTACCGATCGAAGGAAATCGAGGTCTTCATCCAGCGTGCGCTAGGGTATATCAAGAAAGCCCAGTTCCCTGACGGCAGTTGGTACGGAAGCTGGGCTGTTTGCTTCACGTACGGCACTTTGTTCGCTTTGGAAAGTCTGGCATCAGTGGGAGAAACATATCAAAATAGCGAGTACGTCAGGAAGGCATGCCACTTTCTCCTATCTAAGCAGAGAGAGGACGGTGGATGGTCTGAAAGCTGCGAGGTACGTTCCCTTCTTTAACTTAATACTGGGCCTGTATTGACAGGATGATAGGGCTGTCGACAGATCAAGTACATCGAGCATCCAAGCGGCTCTCAAGTTGTGCAAACGGCATATGCGGTCATCGGCTTGCTCTCGGCTGAGTATCCGGACATCAAACCTATTGAGAAAGCTATTCGATTGATAATGGCGAGACAACAGCCCAATGGCGAGTGGCTACAGGAAGCCATTGAGGGTATGTTCAATAAGACATGTGCCATCTCCTATCCTAATTATAAGTTCACGTTCACGATGCTGGCGTTGGGGAAGTTCGCTCGGACGTATCCTGACTACAGACTTACTTGAGTCTTGATGCTATGTTATACTATTTGTATTTGTCTGGCACAATTACGAGGCCATGAGCCACTATACTTAATTCGCAGGCTGTACATTCTCTCACTCCGATCAGACAGAATGTATAACAGAATATGTATATACCACATGAACACAAATGAGCGAGAAAATAACCTATATCTAAACTCATTCTGGAAACTACTCTAACCAACCTAAACTCTACATCCCCCAGATATTCCCACCTTCTTCAACCCCGTCATCCCACCAAAACCAGGATATCACACGCCCCAAGATCTCGCCCCTACTTCCCATCCAAGACACAACCCTCGCAAGCAACCCAACACCAACACAACAACCCTAGCTACCAAGCTAAGTAACAATCCAGAACAACCCAAACCCGCATCCAAACTCCCGACAGCCGCTGATCTACGTGGGAAACAACCTGCCGGAAGTATCTGCCGCTGACATCATACGCCTCTGCACGTCCCTTGGGCGCTGTATCTCCAGATCCCACGGGTCCAGCAGCGCGATGGTATCAGCGGCGACGTCTTACTTTTGTTTCTAAGTTAAACGTAAACTTTGTTCATTAAGCTATGGGATATGACGTTGTGGGGAGTGTTCTGGGCCCTTCTGGTGACATCACAGGGGGCTGCCTGGTTTGCGGCCGTATACTACTACCCTGTGTACAGTTAGTATGGAATTATGTCATGGCTTAGTACTCAGGGTAAGAGATAGAGTTAAGGGGGAATGGGAGATAAGGTAGTACATACTTCTCCTGATAAGCATGGATACTCGGATCGCGTAGTCCCTGACGCATACGCGCGAGGTATACATCGACTTCCTGCCGAGTCCACTATACAACACAACAAACACATATTAGCATCATCACACACATTCGTAGACTCGAGATACACAGCAGCACACCAGGAGAGTGAAGTGCAGAACTAACTCACGTTCAAGAACCTCGTCAATAGCATCATAGTCCACCCCTCGATCCCCATCTCCCACTGCAACCGATTGTACTTGCCCAGCACCTTCAACCGCGGATCCTTCGCCCACGGCCCGACAGGACACTTGAAGCGGTGTTCCTGGACGTCGACAAACCCGGCCTGTATCATCTTCTCCTTCGCTTCGTCCACGATGCGTAGCGTCTTCCCGAATGCGTCACCGGCTTGCAGCGACACTCGGCCCCATTCGTCGAAGACGGTGTGGGCTGTGCTGCCGTCGTCGGATTTGGGGACTACGGACACTTCGACTTGTTCGAGGTAGCCGTTTGGTTTTAGGTGACTGTTTTGGTGTGGGATGTTTGTTAGGTGGGTGGGCAGGGTTGTGGAAGGGAATGAGAAGGGAAGAGGGAGAAGGTAAGGGACGTACTCGAGAGCTTCTTTGTAGAATTTATCCCAGTCTGCTACGCAACCGTACAGGCCGCGGACGTGGATGAAGTCGAAGCTGTCTTTGCCGTAGACCCAGTCGTCGCAGCAGTCGTCGACTTCGAAGTGCAGGTTTGGTGGGACCCAGGTCGGTTGGATGGGGGAGAGGTCTGTTCCGATTACCTTGGCAGCGGGGTGCGTGTCTGCGAAGTCACTGTCGTGCTCATTAGTATTATCGATCTGATTGATTTGGAGGTAAGACGGACATAGCCCATATACCGGTTCCTGTGCCGATGTCGAGAACGTGCTGTGTTTGGGTAGGTTAGATGGGTGAAATTGGATATGCGATGTAAAGTGTGCTTACTTCGACGTTCTCTGGGATCGGTGCCAGATAGAGCTTTCCGTCTAGCAGGAGGTTGAAGACGTGGTGGCTGGGCTGGGTTAGTTGGGTGGTGTTGACTGGAGGATGGGCTGTTTACCCTATGTCTAGTTGTTCCATGGCTTTTTCATCGTTGGGGCCCCTTCAAGGTGTTGATCAGTTTATAGAGCTGAACATGGGGTAGAAGGTAGATGTGTACCAGTATGATCCCGCATGGTAGGCGTGGTAGCGTCTTCCATTATCATAGTGGTAATTCATGATACTGCTGCGGAGCGAAGTCCATTCTCTAGAGGATAGATATCGTCAGCTTTATATTGTCCCAAGTCCAGCCCAGGGGAGCAGATAGGAAAATAGTACTTGAGGGAAAGACTCACGACTGCGCACTGTCTCCATACCCCGACTCAGCATCCTGCCAATATTCAAACCATCAGTCAAACCCAAACACAGAGCGCTCGAGACAACCGAATATAGATGATAGCATACAGTATCAACCTCCATAACATCAGACCCATTCACACGCGACATCACGAAAACTGTCAGCAAGCGCAACAAATTCGGGAGACGTCCGCACCCCCTCCCGACCCCCAGATATTAATATCTAGTGTGCCGGACAACATCCATGTCAGTACTCCTTCGTCTCGTCTCGTAATCTACCGTCTCATCGCATTATTGGTTGCGCTCTCGGCTGTTGGACATGGGGGGCCATGCATGAACGAGCTAGTCCTGCATGGTCTCGGAAGCCCTAACGGTCGACTCCACTGCGTATCATTAGCGTTCCGACGCTAGTCTCCTGTGTCATTGTCAAAGGAGCCATCCTAGTGTCGGACGGGATTGATGTATTCGTATTACATGGCGCTTGGATGTAACATCGTTTGGATGGGGTGGCTCTTCTAGATTGTGTTGGGGAGATGGTTTGTTGTACAGGATGACTCGGGGTTTATCGGGTAAGGGCCTGGGGAATGTGAAGTTTCCTTGCAGCGGGCGGTAGAAGTATGCATGGCTCTGACAGATTCAATGCTCCTCGGCAAGAGCGCATATGAAGGTCATGCCATTGCCCAGTCCTGCATGTCTCACTCGTCGATATTATCCTCGGGATAAGTATCTCGGCATGGGGATGGTGCTGCTGTCGCTTAGGAGCAATCACGGTTTGGCTCTCATCCTGCAGGATTTTGTTTGTTTATTTGTTTGAAGTCTTGTAGCCTGCGTTATGTCTAGAAGATGAGACCAATCATCTGCAGAAACCCCATATTATGTGGTGAATTCGATGTCCACTACACCAACATCTTTTGTATACATACTGTATCACGTGACTGTAGCAAAATAAACAAACACTCCACCCTACGGCAGATTGCCCATCCCAGAACATAGTCGCAACTGTCCACATTCCCAACTTAATCTCTTGTCCAAAATACCAGCATCCATAATGGACACTACAGAACCTCCCAAGAACATGGAGGAGGAGCTGGACTCCGAAATAGCCACCGTCCGCGCCGAAAGTACGCTTCCACCCCCTCAGCGCCGTCGCAACGCTAACACAGATAAAAACAGTCCGCAATCTACAACGCAAGCGTCGCTTTCTAGCCTCCAGTCTACTCTCCTCGGATAACTTCCAGAAACATCTCCAGAAACATCAGTCTTCAAGACCTTCTTCATCTCTAGACGCAGAAGTGTCTCCGTTGGTCCACGCTGCAGGACAACACGCCGAGGTTAACCACCACCGAGTCGCATTCTCAGCCACGACCTTCCCGTTCAAAGATCCGTCCCCGAACAGTGAGAATCCGAATTTACTGGGTGTGCGAATCGACGTCTGCACGAGCAATGGTCGTTTTACGAAACCGTACTATGTTTTGTTGAAGCGGGTGCGCGGGGAGGACAAGAGGCTGCGGGTGCATCGACATACGATTCCAGCCTTCATCTCGGTGGACAAGCTTGAACGCGCTTTTTTGCCTGTGCCTGCCGCGCGTGAGGAGGAAGCGGGGGAGAACTTGAAGCCGTGGAAGAGGAGCGCGAATCGGCAGAATTTGTCGAGGTTTGTTCGCGAGTTGAGACGGCAGCTGGCTGCGTGGCATTTGAGGATGGATGCCGTGAATTTCCTCCGGGGCAAACTCGGTGTGCAGCGGCGTGGCGTTGAAGCTTATAGCGATGATGATGACGGCGTTTGGGTGCGAGATATTTTATCGGACAACCTGGAGGAAATCCGGCTGGATACGAATGACCTCGGCATTGTGTCTCTTTCCCCCACCGCGCTCGATGCAACGTATGTTCGACTGGAATGGGAGGATGGACGGGTGGGACGATTCAAAATGTCCGATAACGGGGTCGTGGAGCGTGCGGTGGTCATTGGCGATGATGGACGAGACAAGTTGCTCGAAGCTGTCTTGACTGGTGGGAATGGTCGCGTGGAGACGGTACTGGACCGATTGAAGCAGCATTTGGTTTCCAAAGAATAAGCTTGGGCTGGTCCCATTTTGAGTCTAAGAGCTAGCATATACCCAAAGAGTTCGTGAATTAATCAAATTAAAACATCTTCGAAGCCATAAGTACATGTTGGTATATTCCCAGTGTTGAGTGCAAGGATATCTAAATGCTCAAAGAGGCGCAAATCTATGTAGTGGAGAAAAGTATCCAGAAAGAAGTTGAAGTATGCACAAGAAACCACAAAGCCGCCAAAGTGTATAATGATGCCCCATCCAGAAAGCAAGCGCACCGAATGCAGGAAAGAAATGTCGTAAAATTACAAAAAAATAGATGTCAGCAATAGCCGAAGTATAAAACATTAAGCTAAGTTGAAGTGATATGTCACTGTTAATATATGCAAAGGGTGAGAACCAGAAAGAGAGGAAAAGGGAAAGGGTATCACTGGGACATCGCATCATAAATTATAGTAGCGGTTCACCTCTCTTCCGGTGCACCTGTTCCTCATCACCGCTTGCACTGGTTGCGTTCTCTTCCGAAACGGAAATCGCCGAGTCGCGCGTCTCATAGCGACAGTCGGCGAACGACAAAGGGGCCAGAGGCCCGTAGGGTTGATCGTATTGCATTTCGAGCTTCTTCCGGAGAATTGCCTCTTCCAGATTCCATCGATGGAGTAGTCTTGTCTTCTTGGCTTCAAAGACTTGCAGAGCCGATGCCTCCTCTAGCTGGTGGTCTCGTTGGAGGTTGGCAAACTCCAGCGCGTGCTTGTCGATCAAATCGTCCAATTCTTTCTCCATGCGGGCTGTAACTTCCTGGAGCTTGAGTTCTTGGCGGTCTCTTAGTACTTTGATTTTGGCTTCGTGAAGTCGGTCCATCGATTCATGGTCGTGGTATTCCTGAGCTAGTTGAGCCTTATGTTGTGGGGTATACTTTCGAGTAGACGGTGATATCTCGGGTCCTGACGGCGATCCGGGGGAAGATGGAGGGCTTGCATTGCTGAAATAGCCCTCCATATACTTGATTCGAGTACGGGAATTCATCTTCGCTCGCTCAAATTCGCGAACTTGATCCATTTCCACCGCGAGTTGTCGTTCCTCCATGCGGCTCGCATCGGCGATATTCTAGTCAAAAGGGTGAGTAATTCGAGATGAGCACACACACTGACAAGGGACAATTACCTTTTCGCGCTTCTCTTCTTCTGCCCGTTTGTTAGCTGCGAGCCGGTCGGCAACAATAGTTTGGTGGTTGCGTCGGAGTTCACGCATGAAAGCGTCCTGAAAGGTCATGTGCCGGTTCTTTTCCATCTTTTGGGACTCGCGCATCTGCCTGAGGTCTGCATTCTCAAGGCTCCGCCGAACGCTCTCGTTGTCAAACACCGGGATCTCCAGCCTCAGTACCGGGCTCTCTTCATCCGCACTATCGTGACCCCGCGGTTCACTGATTTTGGATTCCACATAGTATTTGTCAACCCCTCCTTCACCCTTCGCAACGGTGATCTGCGCAGCCGGGGGAAGTAAGACAGCGGAGGGTGAACGCCGTTTCCGGAAATGAATCTTGTCAATGGCCGACTTCAGGGTTGATTTCCGCCTCTCTTTCTTTTCACTCGAAGCTACGCTCAAGAAAGAGCTTCGCTGGCCGGGGGTTCGCAATGCGATCCCATCGGTGCCGTGAGCCAGTCTCCCCTCGCTCGAACTATAAGAGGTTGGGCGCGTTGAAAGCGAGGCGATCGAGCGAGTACTGCCGCACTTGGCATGGTCGGACAGGTTAAACTCGGAAAACGACGATGCGATCTGATCCAGGGGAGGTATCTCGTTAGATGGGGTGACTTCACAGACGGAATTGCGATCGGTTGAAGAGCCCGCCGAGGACAGAATCGGAGAGGAAAGATCGACCATGCCCGAAGCAATCGACGCGGCCAGCGATGCCACAATCTCAACTTCTGGAACTTTTAAACCCAACTGGCGCGCTTCTTCTACTAGTGTTTGTTCTTGCGATCTCTCCTCATCCTCGGAGGCGATAAGGAGACTTCGTTGCGGTATTTGTTCTCGTCGAACCCGACGGATTTGCTGGACTGCATCATGCGATTGGGGGGATTTGATCCGCAGAAAACATACGGTGCAGATGAGTCAAAGACCGGGTATCTTAACTAACAAACAAGACAAGACAACAATGGGTGTTTCACAGACGTGTGTTACAAAGAAGCCAACAGGCTCGTCCACAGCACTCGACGCACAGTGGACGAGATCGAGGCGCTCCAGGGCGGCATCCGACTAGCGGAGGGTGAACTAGGAGGGAACAAGTTGGATACGAAGGGCCGGGGGGGGAAAGAAAGGGAAAGGGAAGGAGGGTGAGTGGAGAGAAAGGAACTAAGACGATTGACTGATTTAATTAATACGATTAATTAATTCCCATTATTTTTTATTTAAAGGAGACAGCAGGTTAGGTAGGTGATATCTCTCTTTCTCTTGTTGCGGTCCCACGAGTGACCCGCCTGACCGAATCATTAACTAATCTGACGACACGGATGATGAGGATGGTTGAGGTCGGAGAATTTTCTTTTTAGGGTCTAGCTATTCATTTTTATTTTTATTTTTTTTATTTTTATTTTTCCCTTTTCTTTTTTGTTCCATTCAGGCACCATCCATTTCCCATTGTTCGCAAGTTCTGGTAACGTAGGTCAGAGGCTTTCTCCACCCCAAGGAATCCGGGACCGCGGGTGAAACGCAACTGCCCCTCCAGGGGTACTACTGCTTCGGGAAAATTAGGGCATAGGGCATATACCGGTCCGTTCCGCCCCCAAGAGACAACCATCCATGGCGTGGTTTCAGCCACTGCATCACCATTGCCCCCGAGTCAGGCACCGTTGCTTCATGTTCCAACGGTTAATGAGGATTTTCGCTACTGGCCCACTGTTCTTCTCCAGTTGCAGGATCGTCACCGTCCCATCATCCTGGGGACGTATTCTTTACCTCGTGATTCGATGATGCGGTGGCCTAGTTGACACCTCACCGTCAATCGTATGAATTTTAATGGAGTACTAGCTGGCGCCATTGTGGGTGGGCCAAAATGATATGCAGTTAGACCATACGGCATAAGTTATTGATTCACCGCCAGTTACCCGAGCCTAAACAAAAGCCAAGCATCGATGAAATTTCTTTATGAGGGATATACACTGGCAATCTGATGTCTCAACTCTCATCAACGAGACAACATCTCGATAGCCATAGTGTAGGCCTTGTCTTTCGCATGTGCTGAAATACTCCCCTCAGGGGCATTTTTGTCAAAGGCATGATTGCAGCCCTGCATCTGGTGAACAAGAATCTCCCGCTCCGGTTCCTTTGCAATTTTGGCGGCAAGCGCCTCAGCTTCAGCTGCGAGGTTATCACAAGCTGCCGTCACCAATAGGATGCGGTCGGGAAAGCGGTCAGGTTGGGCATAGAAAGGAGAAATTCGAGGGTCTCTGGCATCGTAGGACGCAGGAATGTAGCAACGATCAAAAATCCGGGCTAGCGCTGCAGGCAGCGGCTTTCCTGCAGGATCCGGTGCAGTCTTTAAGCTTGGTTCTGTGTACAAGTCAACCGGGGGATAGAACGCGAGTAATGATCGAAAGGTTCCTCGAGGGAAAACACTTGAGGAGAGTGCCAAAGCCAGATTCCCCCCGGCGCTGAACCCCGAGATCGCCAGCCGGGATGTATTGAATTCCTCAGGACGCTGGAGAACCCAGTTCACCGCATCCTCGGCATCGTGGAGGGCCGCGGGGAAGGGATGCTCTGGTGCTAAACGGTACTGTATATCTAGCACCGTGTACCCCGTCTCTCGGCTGACTTGCCGGCAGAACTCATCGTCGGTCCCATGCATAGGAATGATGAATCCACTGCCATGGAAATTAATGAGAATAGGGCCTGGGTTCGCCGCCAATGCCGATCGGTAGACATGTGCTTTGATTGTTCGCGCTGCCTCCCGCGACTGAATGTAGACGACGTCATCGGGGCTACAAGGAGGATGCTTGCCGAGACTAGCGAGAGTCCTGATTAACACGGCAAGGACTTTGTAATACAGATAGGTCAGAAAGAACATAGTGGAGTCTGGCGTGAAGCTCCTGATGGGTTTCACGTGATATTTTCAAGGCTGATACAGCCTCTTTCTTCGTAAGTAATCGTGCGTTGGATTTCAGAAAATCTCACCGATTCAGAGCGTCTCAACTCCTGAACTTATAGAATAGCTGAGCGCTTCGTGCAAGGCTTATCAGCCACCCGAGCTCCAAATGGCTTTGGACGGTCGAATGGCTCTTGGAGAGAGACCAGCAATCCACTAGTTTAGGATTGGTGGGAAAAGTGCACGGTGTCCTGAGTCCAAATTGCGAACCAAAGATTCGTACACGGGGCTGTGTAAACACAAAATGATGACGCCTTGGCCCGTCTAGAAAATGTTCTTCTACATTTTGAAGTGCTCCGGATATCCCTTGGTCGTGGTTAGGTGCCGTGCAAAAGAAAATTATACCGATAGGGCTCGGTCAGATCACATTGCTGGTCCACGGTATCATAACTAATTACTCTTTTCGGAAGACTCACGTGGACAGGAGTGAGAATTGTGGCAATACTCACAGATACCACAAATAACGCCTGTCCCCGCTGTCTGGGTCAAGATGCACGACGGGTTATTATTATTGCGACGCACATGCTTTGGCGTCTGACTACACTTCCCGACATCCATTCAACTACAAACAATCACCCAGATGATCCAACCGCCACTATCTACTTGCCAGCATCGACTTATCTCCGTGCGTACCTGGATTGTAACTGCAGAGAGAGGGGCTACAGTATGATGAGCATAATACAGTCAAAAACTGCGTCTAACTGATCGTCCAAAAGCTCCACCGCCAACACTAGCTTATCTCCGCCGGAACAACAACCGCAGGATGACGTCTCTTAATCAGTCCGGGGATACCAACTTTACAGTTTCATACGCCTCCCTTTTCCTCGGGGCGACTTTGTGGATCCTCCACCTGCAAGTGTTTTCTCGGCTAACCTGCATAAACTATTTACTGACTGCGCTAGGCTGAGTGGAACGCAGCGAAAGACCAAGCTCTCTGGGACCTACTATCGCGGCCCTCGAAGGGTGATGATATAGACTGTATGTATATCTGCACAAGACATTTGTGTCTCCATTATACTAACTGATCACAGGGAAAGCATTGTATGCTCACATCCTCGAGTGAAACGCTCGTGTCTGCTGACTTTTATTTGCAGAGCGGAACGATTCGATGTAACTCTGCAGTTTCTCCTTCAGCAGGCAGCATGGTTGTATGATCGTCAACTATCCCAGGTCCGCGCGCAGATGCGCAAGGTGGGCACCACTCAGTCGAGCTCCCCATCCCCTGCGCCTGGTTCTGTATCCGGAAGCACAGCGCTCGGCGGCCAATCAGCCAAGGGTGGCCTTGGTGCAGGTAAGCTAGTCTTGCAGGGCTGTGTGTGTGCCATCAGCTCATATATATTAGCCCCACGAGTTCCGAGTCGTCTATCCTCACAACAAAAAGATACTCTTCCCCAACGAGGTAAGTCTATTCCCAAGAGATCGTGACTATATGAGCTCAGAAACCATGGAAGCGAATACTTGTCTAACATTCTGCAGGTCCCCCGCCACGTCGCACAAGCTCGGCAACTACAGTAAACCAAATCAAGATTTCAAAGGAATCGCCTTGCACGGAAACCCCTGCGGAGTTCAGAGATCCACGCTGGGAGAGCGTCAACCGGCGTTCATCAGCAAGCAAGCGGGACCAGGCTCCAGTTCCACCGGCACCAGTACACAAATCGCCCACCCTTCAGGAAGAGGATCTAAGTTCAAGCTCGCCCTCATCCTCGTCAGATGAAGACGACGGGCTAGCCAGTAGACGAGGACTACGATTTCGACGATTCGGCAAATTTTCCACACATCGACCTGGTCTTCGCGACGACGACGAAGAAGACGAGGATGATCCACCCGCGTTTCTTCCACTTTCCCGAGCCCAACCTGAAGCTGCACGGGACCCGTCAGCACAGGATCTCAATGAAACTCTCCGGTTGCAAGGTGAAGATCAAACGGGAGCACGACGCCGCACGTCAGAGCAGAGTCCGGTTTCGAGAGAATCCATTACGACCGAATCATCGACGAGCTCAGTTAGCTCAGGGGCTCCAGTGGCAATCCAACGTCGAGTGAATAGTATTCCATCACCGTTGAGTCCCCGACGGACGGCAGAGCTGGCTCGTGCCAGTCCTCGGAGAATGAATAATTCCGGAAGGGACACGAGTGATGGTACACCGAGTATGGAAAGTAGCTTCAGTGAACTTGATGGTGAGTCTCTAGTTTCTCTGTTTCATTCTTAATCCCTCTGGTACTGATATTGCCATCGATAGACACAAGTGTTACGGAATCGGCACTTCAGGAGGCTCTCCTGAGTAATATGCAACATGGTGGTATGGCAAGTCGCATGAGTACGATCAGTCAGGCAATACGGAGTCGGTATTTTGATGGTTGATTGTGTTAGTCAATGTAAATCGTTGATTTTCAAGAACCTCCCTGGAGTGTGCACACGTCGACAAGCGCCTTATGAGCAACACCTTACGACTACCAATCAAGAGTCAAAAACCTGAATACCACTGGGATGCAAGGTATTTTCCATATATTAAAGGACGAGACGCACATGGCTGCTGTGCCAAATAACTTTCTGTCCTCAGTGCGGAAAGCGGACGATAACATGCCTTGCATAATAACAAATGTACGTGTAGAATTGTTCACTTTTACAAGAGCACGCAAATCATACTTTGTACCATACCATTGGAGTCAATCAGCTACTTTACATCAATATTTTCAGCATAGGCGACCATTGCAGGCTGCGTACGATCAAGAGTATCGAGATATGGCTCCTGTATACCTTATATCAGCCGCAATGCTATGCAATGAAAGGCCTATTGTCAATTTCATAATCTTTATGGGGATTTTTATTTTTCCCAGCACCCAATGGTACCGAGACCTTTCCATAACAATATAGTACCTCGATGATAAGTTCACTCGCAAGTATGTGATGTGCAATTTACCCGTTATATATTTTTTGCATTGGCTATGGCGCCGTTCATTTTGAAGATAGTATTATCTTCGACGGTATTCATAGTACCAACATCATTCACTGCACACCAATTTTGGATGGTTTAGTCGTATTCTAGACTCATTAGCTCACGGAGATCTGCGATCCTGTCTTGACCCTCAACAATTTCTTTGTTTAGGGCTCAACGTTGTTGATGTTCAACCATTTCCTGCAACCTGAGGCATGCTAAGATTAGATAAGGTTAAAATCCCGCCCACGTGATCGCCCGCTGGCCCGGAGCGATATGATTGGAGGATCAGCTGTCATCTGCGTCATTTGTTGCGGGCGGTGAGTGAAAGTTCCCCTCCCAATTGCCCCTCGGCATCTTTTTTGGTGGGCGTGATGGAGACAACGTTGTAGAAATCAGCATCACATCAAACCATACTTTCACGATATATTCCCCTGGTGAAAACCCCGTGGCTTTTGGTACGATCCGAAAGAACATTGCCGTAGTGGTGGGATTGAGCCCTTTTGGTATCACGTCAGACCGAGGCACCTACAGTTTCCGGAGGACTAATTCCGGAGTACCAAGTAGCATTCCAGATAAGGCCCAGCTTCCTCTGTTCGTGACTCAATTGTTTCTTTTTGTTTTTTGTTTATGTGCATAATATCCCTCACAGCCGAGAATTTTACATGCCATCTCTTTCAATTCACCTGAAAATCCCTATTGTTTGAAAAATGACACCGTTCTGACACCGCCGTTAGCATCGTCATACTCGAAAAATAAGGCCCGGTAGCCCCGGTCTTGATTACCTTGCAACATGGCCTCTGCTCCCACACATGAAATGACTCCTGCCGAAGCAGAGTCAGTCTACTTCAACAATTATCCTCCGCCAAAAGCTCTCCCAAAACACGAGGCCCTCGCTCGAGCTTTCATCAATTACCATGTCGAGGACAACAGGCGTCTCGTTCTCGTCACGTCGGGAGGCACAACGGTCCCTCTGGAGAACCAGACCGTTCGCTTGTAAGCAGCCTACTTGACCCGGGGAGAGTGTCTCTCTGATGACCTTTTGTCTTTCCCAGCATCGACAACTTCTCCGCCGGAACAAGAGGTGCCACGAGTGCCGAGTACTTCCTCGAAGCGGGATACGCCGTGATTTTCCTGCATCGTCAATTCAGTTTACTGCCCTATTCTCGTCATTACAGCCACTCGACCAATTGCTTCCTAGACTTCATGGACGAAGCGCCCCCCGCCAGTAACGCGGAATCTGATCACGGGCGTATCGTGGTCCACAGCGAATACCAGGACCAGATGCGAGATGTGCTGAGGAAATATCGGTATGCGAAGAAACATAACCGCTTGCTCCTGCTCCCGTTCACCACCGTATCTGAATATCTATTTGAATTGCGATCGTTGGCCACATTGATGAAACCCCTGGGGCCCAATGCCCTCTTCTACCTCGCCGCGGCGGTTAGCGACTTCTTCATCCCGAGCGATCGGATGTCAGAGCATAAGATCCAGTCCTCTGAGTTGCCTAAGAACTTGAACAACGAGGAAGCCATTGACCCGTCAGATATTTACACGGGCGGAATCCCCCAGGAGACCCAGCCACCCACCCACAGCAAAAAGCTGATCATCGACTTGGACCCTGTGCCGAAATTCTTGCATCAGCTGGTGGACGGGTGGGCACCCGACGGAAGTATGGTAGTCTCATTCAAGCTCGAGACTGATCCCAATTTGCTCGTGTACAAAGCACGGACGGCACTCCAACGGTATGCGCATCATCTGGTGATAGGCAACCTGCTGTCGACACGGAAGTGGGAGGTGGTGTTTGTCACCCCTGAAGCCCCTTATGAGCGCTGGATTCGGGTACCGAAGTCTAAGCGCAGCAAGAGTATTTCTGGAGCAGAAGAGCAGGTGGGACTGGCCGAGGCAAAGACAGCGGGGGGCGCAGCGGCCCCAAAGAACGGGGAAACCGGTGGGGACTATGCACAGGGGCAAGACAGCAGCCACGAGGGCATGGAGATTGAAGCGCTGATCATCCCTGAGCTAGTCAAGCTGCACTCAAACATGATCGCGAAACATGGTGCCCAGGCTTAGTTGATATAGCCATGTATGTACCATGTTTCTCCTGTACAGTATGCACTGTACCTGCATGGGGAGGTTTAATCTATTAGACTGATATCTTGCATTATTTTTCGTTCATAATTCATGTCCATTATTTAAAGTAGGAACCAAGTTAAATTAATTTTGTCGATATGACGCCCTTCAGATTGAGATTGGCAGCATTCAACGGCGATCCGTGACGATGATTACCAGGTTGGGAGGGTAAAGATACCAGCCATACCGTTTCGTTACCGCGTCCGTGACTCTCTTTCTTTCTCCACCAAGTACTTTGGAGGTATCGGTCTCTTCCTTCCTTGAGAACCCATGTTGGATATCACAACTAATTGCGACTCCCGAAAGCTCCGAGACAGGGGAGACTCAATCGGGTGGTTGGTTACAGCTTAATGGAGCTGTTTCAGTTTGACTGTCAGCAGGGGTGTCTCATTCTTGAGCTGCGCCCATACGCGTCATTGAGATCCTAGTGGGTCGATCATCCCTCCGCCGCTGTTCTTTGACTCTGCCGCTTAACGAACGACCTGCCGTACCTGCTTGTCTCTTGTCGATCTTCGGGACTTGGGGCCCTGCTTGCCCTTGTCTGTTTGAACTTTTTTTTTTCTTCTTGTTCGTTTGTTTTCGTCTCCTTTTCTGTCTATACTGTTGTGGCTTTACATTCCTCATCGGTTCTTGAATCCCTCATCGCAATCGATCAGCTGAGGTAAAGGGAATAACGAAAAATGGTAGATTGTTCTCCATCGAATTGGAGGAACGGTATAATCTTGCTCTTTTAGTGTCAATTCCCCAGGTACTCTGTGTGGAGGCTGTCCGCAGCTTCGACGAGCGTTCCTCGCTCGCTCGCTAAGATGTTTCCTCGTCGATTCCGTCGCATCGCCGCCATCACCTCCGTCCTCTGTCTCTTCCTCCTCTACCACTTCGCCGGCCTTCGATCGAGCTTCCACCCTACCGCTACCCATGAACGCCGCCGGGTCGAATGCCCGCCCCTCCCGGGTATGGAAGACGTGCTGGTTGTGTTGAAAACAGGTGTCACCGAGGCATTGGACAAGGTCCCGGTGCACTTCCAGACCACCCTGCGCTGCGTCCCGAATTACGTGATCTTTTCCGACTTCGAGGAGGAAATTAATGGGATCAAAGTGCACGATGCCTTCCGGAATATGGATCCCGACGTGAAAGGGACCGTCCCCGACTTTAGCATCTACAACCGCCTCGTACAGATGGGTCGAGCGGGCCTGGAAACACATGATTTCGCCGACGAGGCTAACTCGGCCATCGGCAAGCCAAACAACCCGGGTTGGAAACTAGATAAGTGGAAGTTTCTGCCGATGGTCCAGGAAACGCTCCGCTACAAGGGCGACGCAAAATGGTACGTCTTCATGGAAGCGGACACGTATTACTCATGGGGGACGTTGCTCGAATGGCTCTCGCACTTTGATGCGTCCAAGCCGTGGTACATCGGCACTGAGACCCAGATTGCCGATGTCATATTCGCCCACGGCGGCTCGGGCTTCGCCATCTCAAATCCGGCCATGCAGCGAGTCGCAAAGGAGTACACAGAGCGCAACGTCGAGCTGAACGAGTACACGGATGCTCATTGGGCTGGAGACTGCGTCTTGGGCAAAGTGTTGGCCGACGTCGGCGTGCCATTGCACTTTTCCTGGCCGATCCTGCAGAACACCAACATCGGCGAACTAGATGAGTTCACGACCGCCTTCTACCGTCGACCCTGGTGTTTCCCCGCTGTCGCATTCCACCATCTGAGTGCACGCGACGTCCAAGATCTGTTCAATTTCGAACAACGCCGATGGCACGAGGTAAGTTTCCTCTCACCCTCCATCTTGACCATCACCTAACCTATCCCTAAAACAGAAACAAGCCACACGTCTCCTGCACGGCGACGTCTTCAAAGAACTCATCTACCCAAATCTCTCTTCATACCGCGACAACTGGGACAATCTCTCCGACGAAGAGCACTCGGAATTTACCACCTTTGACGAATGCCAATCCTTTTGCAAGGATAACCCCGACTGCGCACAGTTCTCCTTCCGCTCCAAATCCTGTTTCACCGGCAGGACACCCAAACTGGGCACGGCTAGCTCGGGGGCCCGGTCCGGATGGGCTATGAAGAAGATCGAGGAGATGATGCGTGAGGCGCCGGTTTGTACGAGTGTGGAGTGGGGTGCTGCGTGATTGTTCTATACTTTTTTTTTCTTTTTCTATACATGTTTCTGTTTCTTGCGCGCATTGGCGGTGATGCATTGGCAGTTCGCAGGTCGAACGTGATGGACTGGAGTTATACTCTCTTACAGCTCGATGTTGATTGTCAGAATGGGACCCGGCTGGTTTATGCTGATCTCCTGGCTGGATGTATACTATAGACTACCATTCTCGCTGTGCTCATTTTCTTCTGATATGTTTCTATGGGCGGTGTTGGGTCTCGTCTTGCATGGTAGGAGTTGTCGATGGTTTCATTCAATACATCAATTCTAGCGAATCTCACCTACCACAATAAGAGCAACCATTCCAGCAATAACCCCATGGCCCAATAACTTTACAAACTCACTAAACTCAACTGACCCACCAAGAACACCCAATTGAACAACTTTACAGAAGCGCAGAAAACCAACCCAATCATCCTACAAAACCTCAGGAGCTTTGGGATCCTCCAGGCACTGATCAATACGCATAATCTTCAATCCCTTGCCTTGAACATAGTGGATAATGTCCCGAAAATACCCCACGGTCGAATTACTCAGATAATGCAGCACGGCCAGATTCCCACCGCGGTCGACATCGCGGTAGAATGCCTTCAGCTGGCGCTCGGGTGTGTCGGAGTCTGCCCACCTCCAGTCTTCGATGTCGACGCTCCAGTTGATGATTTGGGGGTTTTTGATGCGCTTGGCGAGGATTTGGCGCGTGCGGGGCCCGATAGTACCGTATGGGGGACGGAAGTAGCTGGCTATTTGCTTATTAGTTTGTTGGTTCTAGGGGAGTATGGTAGGTTAGGCAGCATGGGGGTCGATGGTGATTTGAGTGTAGTTCTTCCAGATTATGGATGGATGGGTATAAGTGCATGTATACGTACACTCTACCCCAAGCAAATCCTTAAATGTAGCGATATTTCGGAAAATATCGTCATCTATAGCCTTCGTCGACTCCATTCCTTCCATCCTACATTTGTCACTCATTAGCATTATCATATCATCATGCTCACCCACTCCCTACCCACCCCCAACACCTCAAACAACTATGAAGAAAATTGAGATCGGGGAACTCACTTGGAATGTGCATCTGAATGTAACGCAATCTGATGTCCACCCTCCACCATCCTTCTGTAAAAATCCGCAAACCCCGTCCTATTATCCCTAAGTGGACCCCCCACAACAAAAAATGTAACCAGCACGCCCTCACTCTCCAATATCTCCCTCACCTCGTCCGCAAGATGGGTATACCATCATCGATCCCGAAAGCAAACGAACCAGGTCTTGTGCACCGGAGTCTCAGCTGCCCCGTCGGCTGTTTTTTCTTTGGAATTTTAACACCGCGTGGTGGGGCCGGGATTAGCTCGACCTTGTACACTTTTATTGGGCGCGTGTACGGTGGATAGAAACCTCCAAGGGAGATGGAGAGGACGTGGGACTGGTCGATAGTGAAGTGGGAGAGGGGGACGTAGAGGTCTTGTGGCTTTTGCTTCTTTGGTTTACGGTGGTGCCAGTGGGGTTTGGCAGTGTAGCGGGACGCCTCGATGCTGTCACTGGTTTCGGGGTAAGGGTTTAACGATGGGTTGCAGGAGGGATTGTTTTGGTGGAGGGAGACGCTGAAGGTTGGTGGGCCTGAGTAGACAATGTGCAGGATCCAGGTTTTGTAGGGGGTGAGGTCGAAACATGTTGTTGAGGAGAGCTGGCTGTGGTATGTTTGGTCAGCGTTTGAGGCGTTCAGTTCGATGTAGTCCCGTCCCTGGGTGACGGTGAGGTCTTCGAGGGCACCGTGCCAGGATCCAAGGTGGTTTTTGTCGGGGTGGGTGAAGGTGTCGACGATTATGGGGGTGTTGTTAGTCGTGGGTGGAAGAAAGGTCACTTGGAGGGGTGTTCGGGTGGTTTCTGTGGCTGTGGTAAGGGTGGACCAGAAGAGAGCGAGGATGGTGTAGAGATAGAGAGTATGCATGGTTGCTGTTATGAAGCGGATGGACAGTGTATGATATACAGTGAACGAATGGACTGTGATAGCTTCACACTTGTATCTATATGGTGGTGGATGGTGGATCTGTGTCACGACTGTCAGCTTGCTCAACTTTGCAGGCAAATGATGGTGACATGGATACTCACCTTACACGGAAGGAGCGATTGATAGACGGACACGCCTCAATGGGGTTACGACTGCTCTCACTGGAGTCGAAGATTAATACATATTAATTTCTAGGTCTAGCCATACAGGAAAACAAAGCCACCTTCCCTCCACTACCCGAATCCTCCCCCCGGTCCAGTAGTTGGTTAAGAAGCCCTAAAATCGTACCCTCTAAATTCTAAAGTAAGAGGAGACAACTTCCTGTGACCACTTACCAGGCTTCCAGGGAATTATCGAGGCTAAGAAGGTCGGCCCGCTGTTGTCTCCCGCGTATGGAGCTGAACCTGTAGAACATTGGAAGCCGCAGTAACCTGCACTGCATAAAGCATTTGATGGCGTGAAACCGCAGAAGTTACCCCAGTCGACTCATCACCAGTATTCCCCAGTACACCCCAGCCACCCAACAGCCTTGGAGACACTCAGCCAAACCAGTGGTGAAGATAGGCAACCGTCGACTGTCGGAGAGTCTGAAAAGGTTGACTAGAAGTCGTAGTTGACGGCAGCGGCCGGGGCATCTTCGGTGTCACCCATGGGAATTCCACCCCAGGTGCTACTCTCAGCGCCCTCGTTCGCATTTTCGCCACCGCCTTCTCCGTCTTCATCGTCGGTATCATCCTCAAAGAGATTCTCACCATCGCCAGGCTTGTAGGACTCCAGGAAGTCAGGTATTTTCTGTTTGGTTTCAAGAAGAAGCCGAACAAGATCAGGGGCGAGGTCCGAGTCGCGGTCATGATTGTAAAAAGAAGTAGCGAGTCCTTCGTTCCCAATACGGGCAGTACGTCCTGTCCATGGTTAGCATTCTGGTGATATGAGCCACTCGTTGCAGTACTTACCAATGCGATGGACATACTCAACGATGCCGCCGTGGGCCTGGCGAGGAAGGTCATAGTTGACAACATGCATGACGTTCTTGATGTCAAGACCACGAGCCGAAACCCCTGTCGCGACGAGGATGGGGCATTTGGCAGTACGGAAAGCACGTCTATTTCTCCTTTCAATGACCGGCTACTCTGTTTAAGGCGCAAGAGTACTTACAAGGCATCCTCGCGCTCGCGTTGAGTACGATCTGAATGTATGGAGGTGCTGGGCAAACCCATGTTGTACAGGTAGTCGTCCAAGTGATCTGCCTGTGCTTTGGAGTTGACAAAGATCAGGGTACGAGAAGGGGGCATCGCCAGAAGCAGATCATAGAGGCACTGCTTCTTGAGATGCTCTTCGGAGTAGACAATCTGAATGGTTTGTCAATCAGGTATACGGGATACAATCTTAGTTTCCGGGTGAATAGCTTACAGTCTGGTCCACATTGATGTGAGTGCTGCCAGGACGTCCGATACGAACACGAACATGGTCATCAGCGAGAAACTTGCGGGCCAACTGACGGCATTCCTTGTTGAATGTTGCGGAAAACATCATGTAACGGTGGTCCGCATCCTCGTTTACATCTTTTTTCATCAGCATCACAGTTAGATCAACCCGTACTTTCGCACTTACCTCCACCCGACATGATCTTGTTGAAGTCAGACTCCCAGTCCGCAAGAAGAAGTTCATCTGCTTCGTCTATGATGGTGTACCTGGTTATGCATCAGTCACATTCTAAAAATTCCAGAGAAAGAACGTACTTGACACGGCGGAGAGACATAATATGAGGCTTGTCCATGAAATCCAAAAGCCTTCCAGGTGTGCCAATGAGAATGTCGCAACCTTTCTGCAGCTCGTCTCTCTGGTCACGTACGGGAGCACCACCGTACACAACGCAAGGACGTAACATAGAGCGATAGCATAGTCGGCGTGCTTCATCGAATATCTGCGTCGACAGTTCCCTGGTAGGTGCAACAATCAAGACCAGAGGTTCTGCACGGACGGCATCAATGATGGGGTTAAAGCCGTCTGCCAAGTTTGGACGTGGAGCAGCAAGTTTCTTTGCCTTTCCCATCAATTTCGACAGGACAGGGATCAAGAAGGCTGCGGTCTTTCCGGAACCTAGGTTTGTCAGTGGCTTGTTGAGTCTCTACATATCCCCAACTACTTACCAGTCTGGGCAATGGCGATAAGGTCGTGGCCGGTCATAACAGCAGGGATCGCATACGCCTGGATTGGCGTCGGAATATCGTAGTGACAAAGCTTGACGTTCTCGCGCACAATAGGATGCAGTCCGGCATCGTCGAACTGAAACTACTGTAAGACCTTGATGTACTATCAATGTTGAACAGACTCACACTCTTGATTGGATTAGGACGCTCTCGACTTTCAGCAACTACTTCAATGTTTTGGAGACTGTGAAGATCAGCTTTTGGTGCCAGTATCCAGCAAATGCATCTACTTACTTTCCAATCTTAAGACCAGTTCGATTAATGAGTTCACTCCGAAAGAGCATCTCTTCGAGCTCTGGGTTGGCAGGACCAACGTCACCGTACTCATCTTTCCACTCGTATTTAGCTGCGTTGGCCGCCCACTCGGGGAGTTCCTGCTGCCGCTGTTCTGGCTCAGTGCCCTCACCAGGGTTGGCGAGAGGAGGCCCAGGAGGGGCTGTATTGTACTTGGAGTAGTCGTAGCCCTCCGGCTCGACCCATCCTTTTTCGCGAGCAGTACTAGCAGCTTCAGCCTTTTTGGCATTTTGTGTGTGCGTAACATCCTCAAGGGCAGTGCCCATGCTGGACACGTCAAATGTATCCATGATGTTTGCGTAGACACGAAATACGCGTGAAGAGAATGTGCGGTTGGCCGTTATAGTTCAGATCCAGGATGCTGAGCCCTGCGGAAATAGAAGGAGACAGACTTAGAGGGTTTCACACATGGACGGAAGGCAAGAGGGGGACGACTTTTGATCGAAGCAAAGATCGGTTTGAAGAGTGTGGGTAAAAGGATGAAAGGAAAGATGGAAGAGAGTTGCTGGAGGAATAGGAAGAGGAAAAGGAAGAGAGTGCGGAGTTGCAAAGACAACAAACAGAAGAGTGAATATAATAAAATGTTTCTCGGGCGATACACACCGAGCATAAGCTATTTGGTTGGGACTACTTTCTTGTACTCACCAATAGGAGGGTCTCAGGGGAGGAGTGAATGTCAGGATGCAGCTGACTTCGGTTGGAAAGTGCGGTAAGAAACAGAATCAGAGTGAGTAAATGAGGTCTGGCTTATATAAAGGACTTCAGGTGATATTGGAGTTGTCCCAATTGGAAGGTCACCAGTCAAGTCACTGGGTTTGGAGAACCCTCCGAGAAATGGATATCAGGGTGTCCTTCCATTCCGCAGGGGAGAAAGTCCCCATGATGTCTGTGCTTCTGTACATATTTAGAGTATAAGAGAAGTAACACCAAGCGATATGGCACCCAAAACACTAGAAAATTGGCTAAATAGCTGTCTTCTACTATTGGTAGGTTAAATATACATAGACCAACAGGCTTGTGCTGTTGTTTGAAGCCAGTGTATGTATATGGCATGAATAAGTGTAACCATGGTATGTGATCTGTTTCTCTGCCTTTTCGATCTATTCTTAGTGTGCAATGTTGTGTTACCACTGGAATCCTCTAGAGTGATTTATACTTTCTTCTTCGTTAGACTTCTCCACAGATCCAGCCTTTACTTCAGGACGTATCCTTGATGCCGTCTTACAGGTAGAAAATGAGTTATTTCCACTAATTCTTAATCCTGACCATGACAAAATAACGGTCCAAGTCTAATGTTAGCTGGAGGTAATTAAGGACAGAAGGCGTAGGCTATATACCCAGCATCCATCATCCATCAGACACTTGGTTACCTGTCTACGTTCGGCGCATACATAGACAGAACATATAATCTACACAGAGTAGAAGATGACGACATGGCGATTCAATTTCGATGTTGAACAGAATACCAGCATAAGCTAGTCACTGAAAGGTGTGGCTGTAGACTACTAGTACTGTGTTCTTGTGTGCGTTGGTCACAGTTGTAGTACACAAATATCGTGATATATATCCTACAACGAGAGTATTATACCAATGATAACTTTGCACTCCACAAGATTAACAAGAGATCCTCTATTAAACAGAGGGAAAAAGAATAATAAGGAAAAAAAAAAGAGAGAGAGAGAGAAAATCAGA